AATCATAATATGAAACAATTAGTCAATATTTTTAAATAATCTTAATAAACTTTATACTTAATTTACTTTCATACTATCTTCTATATTACAAATTCTAATAACCAAATTTTCAGAACTCTTATTAATATTTATTATTATTATTATATTCTTATCACAAAAAAAAAAAATAATATAAAAACCCAATACATCACACTTATATAAGTTAAATATCAACTCTTAGGTATTATTCTGGCCAGTATTATTAAGAACTCTTTAGAAAATCTTACTTAAATCAAAAATTTAATGTCAACTTCAAACTGCCTCAAATTTATTGTATATTTATATTAAAAAACTTATAAATAATTTATATAAGTCAGTATTTTTATATATTTTATACAAATTATTTCTTATATTTATTTTATTTTTGATATTTGAAAATTAATATTTTAAAAAATTTTTTTTGTAATATTAAAAAAAAACTTATAAAATATAAAAATTTTAATATTAGTTTTAAATTAGTTAATTTAATTGGTTTAGAATATATTAGAAAAAATTTGATTATAAGAATTGATTTAAATATTTTTTTATCTTGTTATTTAAGTTTTAAATTAAGAATCTGTATTAATTTTAAACTTATACAAGTTATGATTTTTTATTTATTTTTAACTGATCTAATTATTTAAGTTTTATATCAAATTAAAATATTTAAATTAAAATTTTAATTATTTATTAAAAAATGTTAAACAAAATTAATAAAAATAAAATATAATTCAATTTGTATATTAAATATATTATTATTATAATTAATTATTAAAAATTAGTTAAGGTAAAATACAATTTAATTTGTATATTCAAATATAAAGATTTTTATTTATTTAATAATTATTATGATATTAATTAAATAATTATTGTATTATTATATTTTTTTCAAAAAAATTCCAATTTTAATATTATTGAATTAGCATATAAATTAGTTTTTTATAAAAGCAATACTTAACAAGTTATATTATTAAATATCTTATTGGTATTCTTTAATTGTTTTGATTTTGATTTGAATTAATATTTTGTGTTTTGGACTTGAAAATATTAACTATTGTATTATTAACTTATAAATTATTATTTTATTAATTTGTTATTATATTAAAAAATTTATTATATATATAATAATAATAAAAGACTATATATTTAAGCAAGTAACAATTAACTATTATATTTATATATTTCAATACAAGAATTTATAATAAAATCTAAAAAATTTATAAAGGTTTAAAAATATACTGTATTTATTAATTATTTAGATTTAAAACTTTAGATTTATAATAGACACAATAGAAAAATATTTTTTACATATTTTGTTTTTTGAAGTTTTCTTATAAAAAATTATAAGAAAATAAGTTGAAAAAAAAACAAGTAAAATAACATTTATTTTTGAAAATATATATATTAAAATTTATATATATAATTTATTATTATAAAAATATAAAATCTTTTGAGAATATTTGTTTTTTAAATAGATAAAAAGATTAGTAGGAATAGTTTATAATATTTATTATAATATTTTTATTTTATATTTATAGTACATAAGTTTTTCAAAGAAATTCTTTTTCAATATTATTCAATTTATTAAGAAATAAATTAATCAATGGTTAAGACATTATATGCAATGGTATATGATAATAAAATTACTAAAAATAAATGTTCTAAATGAAAAATTTTTTAAAATCATAGATTGGTCTTCTGATAGTTCAAATTTAGATCTTACTAAAAATCTTTGATTTATTATTAAAAGAAATGTAGAAATGAGATTATCTTAAAATTTTTTAGAATCAGAATAATTTATGATAAAAGAATATAAAAAAATCCCTAATACTTTAGAATTATAATTAATCTCATAGATTCAATAAAAAAGAGATGTGAATTAATAATTAAAAATGATAATAAAAAAATTGATTATTAATCATATATTAATTTTTAGTGATATATTTTCATTAATTTCTATGCAGTGATAATGTGAATAAAACAAAATTCAATATGCGAATGATAATCGTAGGACGCAATTTTGAATTCAAGTATCTTTCTTTTACTTCTTTTACACAGGTTTTACTCTATGGTTTGATTTCTCTTTTTCATAATTTCGATTTTTTGATTTTTTGACATAAATATTATGGTACTATGATTATTAGAAAAAAGGTGTATAAAGACAAAGTGTAATTTGGAAATTAATAATTATATTGATTTGGTTTATATCAATAATTTTGAATAAGTTGTTATCATAAATCATCAGATACAGCATATCCAATGTACAGTATGTTGCTTTGCTGTATATACTGCAGATAGAATATTATTAAACTCAAATTATTAATTTTTTCAATTCACTTTGACTTGCAACAATTCTGTTTTCTTGAACTAGCCGTTAACGATTTGTTTATTGTATCAGCGCATCATCACCAATTTGTTTATACAGATAAGAAATCGATTTTTATTTTAGATGGCGCATCAAAGTTGTCTGCTTATGATACTAACGATGGTCGATGATGCTCAATCATTCTTTTTTTCTTCTTAATAAACCTTTTTTCTATTATTGGTATCTTGAGTAATACGATTCCTTAAATTTTAAATTAAAAAAAAAAAATCGAATATCGCGATAGTAGGCGTTTATTCTTTTTTTTGCTGAAATGACGACCAAAAAAGAATCTACGGTATGTTGACACGGTGAAATCGTATAATGTATTTACAAGGTTTCATACATACACGACATTAACCTAATTTGAATGTGTTTCTATGTCGCAAATCCTCCAAAAAAAATTTTTTAAATAACGATGTTTAACCGAAAGAAAACGTAATCCTTTCAGGTAAATCAATTTATGCATATATAAAGTGTGCACAGCGTATACAGTAATGTGAGATATTATAAAAAAGGTAAAAATTACACTGTATATTGTTCAACTAATTTTTTTTTTTTTTAATTTAAATGATATAGGAATCAGCGTTCGAAACGATAATAATGATGAAAAATATGCACTTACTATTTTATCTGTTGTTCTAATATTTTTGTTCAACATTTGATAAGTCGGTACGTGAAGCAGATAGATAATATTACGATTTAAAGGTTAGGGTCGGAGGGAAACAAGTTTATAATGATAAATTTCAAAAATAAAAGTGTGTTTACATACAAATATGTATATATTATGGTTACAATAAAATTGTATCAGAATTCAAGTGCAATCAACAAAGTTTACGAGGAGCAAATATAAAAGATTTTGAGGTCAAATGAACGACCATCTAAAAGCACAATCGGGAAATATCAAATTAGGTACTACAAGTCGAATCTCGATGCATTATTACTGAATCATTACTGAATCATGTACGCAAGCGCAAAATCAAAAAAAACAATTCTTATTGGAATTCCAACCCTTTACTTTTCAGCAAGTAATAAAATAAATAAATGAGTAGGTAAATAAATAAATAAAATAAAATAAAATAAAATTTACTGTATTCATTCATAAGATGACAGAATGCAATTAATTTTGTACCAACATTATTATGCTTGTGCAAAGAGCGGAAATTCCTATACAGAGGGCGATTACGTATTATAAATTGGGATTTATGTCGACGGTTTTTTTTTTTTAAAATAAATATACATATATGTATACTGTATGTATGTACAGTATATACAGTGTATACTGTACATGCTGCCGTATTGCATTTTGAAAAACATCATAGTTTTGGCATGTCACCACAGCCTTGTGTACCCGTGGCAAGAAGCATGAAAAGGGATCGTCTCCAAGCATTCAATTGAAATAGGCAATCAAAGAAAAAAAAAGATGTAACCGCATATTTATGCGTCGGATTATTATTTGATTATTGTGATTAGTGCAACCAAATCAGAGTTTCTTTGGTGATCTGATTTCACGTTCATGTGCAGTCTGTGCAACTTTATAAAATTGAGTCTATGCGCGCGAATGGTCGATTATTCGAGCTCTTCCATTGACTATGTAAATAAGTCACTTTATTAATAATGCAAGTTAATATTATACGAAAGAGAAAGTTGTACAAGCTCATGAAATTCTTTGTTTGAATGACCGTCGGAGAACAACAAAAAAATGACATGTAACGTGTGGGTGACAAAGAGCAGATGACGTCAGAAGGTCGTAGACACAGTGTTCTGTATGTACTGTGTACTGTATGTAGGGGGAGTGTATGAAATGTGTTGCGAATAACAATGTAAAGAACAAAAATTTCGTTGTCCATTTACGATTACCCAGAGTTTCACATTCAAACACAAATATCGATCAATCATCTGACGTTCTGTGTTGATTACTTTTCTCCGCTGGGCACGACGATTTTCCGCTTCCTTCTGAAACCTTTTAATTCGCACGGTACCGAATTTTTTTTTTTTTTTTTTTACACGGATAATAATAATGATGAAATAGAATTCAATTCAAAGCTTCACCTGCTCTATTCGCACATATATGATGCGGTATGTACATGCGTCTCATTCATGCGTCAAGGTACGGACTTTTATACATTTGTATGTTCTTTCGCCCTGACAATTTCAGTAAGAAGAAAAAAAAAACGCGATGAATATTTTTAGAAGGATCTCTTGATCCGTGTTTGATATGCCATATAAACCGAGAGAATCTCTCGAAATAACAAAGTTGATTGCCCTTAATGATTAATAATAGAAACATCGATTCTTCCTTGTTGGAACTTTGCATCTCCAAAATTGTACTAGCATGTAAATTAAGTGACAGGTGAAAGCTGTTATCGTGCATTAAATGTAAGCAACATGTATCGCCGCTGTAAATCTGAATCAGCACGCAGGACTTTTGACTAATTCCGGCAAGGAGTACTTACATTAACATCACTGATTTTGGCAAGGATTGGAGAACGATCGGGTTTGGTCAAGTAATAAGGTTTTTTTCTTCCACCGAGTGACAGCAGCAGAAGCAAGCTGAAGTAAAATAACGTACGTACGTACGTACGTATCCACAAGGATCCGATGACGAAGCGAAAGCAAGATGGAACGTTTTGACTCTTCTACGCATCAGATCTCGTTAGATCGTTGCGACTCACGTTCGACCACATCCACTACCGACATTCAGTTGGATGCATTGTTTGACGGAATCGTCTCTTTCGGATGGGCTTGGCCTAGATTGGATCAGTTTCACCGTTTTACCTTGCACCTATTCTTGCGTCCAAGGTCCATTCTGTGGTAAGAAAGGTTGAATGCACAAACGTCTATGGGCACCTAATAATAATTATGCTGTAGATAGATAAATAAAAAAATAGATTATACAGTAATATGATATGAGATGATATGAGATGAAATAGTGTAATATGAGATAATATAATAATATATTGTCTTCTTATATAATATAGCGTAATATAATAAATAGTACAATATACGGTAGCATATCATAACGTGTAATGTATATGTATGTTCCAGTATAATAAAGTATAGAGTATAGTGCTGTGTGGTTTAGTATAAGATAGTACATATTATGATATATTGTATAATAATAATAATAGTAATAAATGAATACTGTAAATAAATAATAATAATAATAATAGGGGTAGTAAAAATAAGAAGAATAATAAAAATAATGATGTCCGATGGATAATAAGTAATTGAAGTAATTGTGAATCTTGTCATATATGCGTGCATTGCGTCTACATTATGCGACATACA